TTATGGCTGTTATTTTTGAGTTTTCTTTGGAGTTATCCTCTTCTTCCTGGTTTACTTACCACGACCCCTTCTCCAGCTCACTCTCTATTTTCTTTTTGGCCTAGATATTTCTATATTAATAATTCCCAAACAGGTAAGAACATCAAAATTCCTTTCTGTGCTCCAGAATACTAATTCAATTGCTTGCTCTATTTCTTGCAGGCTGACAAAAATATGAACTAATACTCGCCCCCCTCAAAGTTATACCTCCTCCAACATTGTTTATTTCAGTAAGTGGCCTCACAAATCATTCAAATATATATATACCTAAAACCTTGCTCTAAATGCAGTTATTCCTGCATCTAGTTTTCTCTCTTTCTCTGCTGCCAAATCCTAATCCAGATCCTTGTCATATCTTCTTTTGCCCACAACAGCTCTTTAAACAGTCTCCTGGCCTCCTGTTTTCATACAGTAGCCAGAGCTGTCTTTTATTTTTTAGGACAGATTTATTGAGGTTTGATTTGTATATAGTAAAAATCTCCTTTTATTTAGTGTACAGTTCTGAGTTTTGACAAAAGTAGGAAGCCATATCACCACTACCATACAATATTTGGATTGTTTCCATTTGTCTTGCGGAATACATAGGAGTTAGATTGCTAGGTTCCATGGAAAGTTTATATTTAACTTTATAAGAAACTAGAAAACTTTCTTTTACAGTGGCTGATCCATTTACCCTCCCACTAGTACTATATGAGAGTTTCAATTGTTCCACATTCTCTCTAGCACCAGTTTTATTTTATTTTATTTTATTTTATTTTAACCATTGTAATACATGTATAGTGGTAGCTCATTGTAGTTTCGATGTACATTCCCATATTACGATATTTAGCATCTTTCACATGTTCATTGAGATCCATATATCTTTTGTGAAGTGCATACTTAAGTCTTTAGTGTATTTTTTATTTGATTTATTTTTTTTGGATTTTTAACATTTTTTATATATTATGAATACAAAGTTAGATACATACTTTGCAAAAAAAAAATTCTCCTTGTCTGTGGCTTGTCTTATTCATTTATCAGTACCTCAGAGCAAACCTTTTTTTTTTTTTTTTCATTTTGATGAAGTGTAATTTATTCTTTCATGGATCAGTCTTTTGGTGTTGTATCTAAGAACTCTACCTAACCATGGTTACAAAGATTCTCTCCTGTTCTAAGAGTTTAAAGCTTTCCATTTTATCCTTAGATCTGTGATCCATTTTGAGTTAATTTTTGTTCGTGGGATGTGAGATCAAGATAATTTTGTTGCTTATGGATATCCAGTTGTTCTAGCAAATTTATTGAAAAGAATATTCTTTTCGCCTTTGTCAAAAATCAGTAGCCTGTATTTGCATGGGTCTATTTCTGGACTGTATTCTGTTCTGTATCTGCTGTGATCTATGTCATGGATTAACAAACTTTTTCTGAGAAGCACCAGATAGTAAATACTTTAAGTTTTGTAGGTCAAAAGGCAAAATCCAAGATATTATGTAGATACTTGTATAACAAGAGAAAAAATAAATTTCCATGAATTTTTTGACAGAATTTAAAATATAACTGTTAAACGTGCAATACAATATACAGATGATGCATTGTAGAATTGTATAGATGAAACCTGTGTAATTTTATTAACCAATGTCATCCCAATACATTCAATTACAAATATAATAATTGAGTACAAGTTTGTAACACAGGTCTACTAATAAGAAGAATGGGATTGGTGGGGATAACATTTTGCTTAATAGGGGTTCAAAATTAGTGTTTCTTCTCATCAAAATTTAATACAAATGATTCATCTAGTAATGCATATTTATAATAAAATTTTACATATTTTTATCTTTGAAAAATATCTTTTCACAAAGGTGATACATGTAGCAGTGAAAATGCTGCAATTTATAGAGTGCCGAAAAGCACTGCAAAGTGATGAGAGAGCCACATAGAGTCTGTCATAGCTATTCAACTCTTTACTGTGGCATAAAATTTGCTATGGACAATGTAAATAAATGAGTCTAGATATGTTCCAATAATGAATTATTTATGGGTACTGAAATTTGAATTTCTTATAATTTTCACTTGTCACTAAATATTATTCTTTTTATTTTTTCATCCATATATACAAATTTAAAAGCATCCTTATCTTAGGAACATACAAAAACAGGTGATAGATAGGCTAGATTTGTCCTATGGTCTGTAATTTGCTTACCTCACTTCCCTATTCTATGTTTCTCTCCTTGGCCTACACCATGTTGTCAGGATTATTGTTGCTTTGTGCTAAGTATTGAAGTCAGGCAACCTGAATCTTCAACTTCGTTCTTTTCCAAAATTGTTTTGGCTATTCTAGTTCCTTTGCTTTTCCATATAAATTTTTGAATCACCTTATTGATTTGTACAAAAAATCCTGCTCAGAATTTTGTTGGAATTATGCTTAATCTACTTTGGGTACAATTGACATCTTAACAATATTAAGAGAACTGGTATAAATAAATCTCTAGATTTATTTATATCTTTGATATCTTTTATCATCTGTAGTTTTCTGCATATAGATTTTAGAATTTGCACATATTTTGTTAAATTTATACCTAAGTATTTCATGTTTTTTGGTTAGAGCCATCTTTTTAAAAATGCAGATTGTATCATGTTGTTTCCCAGTTTAAAACCCTTCAGTGGCTTCACACTGCTCTTAGAATAAACTCTAATCTTTAAAAGCCTAAAAGCCCTGAATGATCTGGGCTAAATTTATCCTAATTTTATGCTGTTCTTCACCTTATTCAAAATGTTCTAGTCTTAGACTAGCAGGAAATAGTTTTATCAATTAAGGTGTATAGCTTTTAGAATACTTGAAAGAGCAGTAAATAAATTTTTAAACAAACACTTGAAATATGTATATTTTAACCTTATTAAAAAGAGCAGTTCAATGATCTTCAGCAAATCATGAACTTAGAATTTGGCTGGGTGGTTGGGCTCTCTGTATGGAATTCTTTGATCTTTAAGTTTGTACTTTATGAGTATTGTTTGTTTCGTTTCATTTTTATTAATCCTCACCCAAAGATATTTTTCCATTGATTTTCAGGGAGAGTGGAAGAGAGAGGGAAAGACAGAGTGAAACATTTATATGAGAGAAACACAATGATTGGTTGCCTCCTGCACAAGCCCCTACCAGGGCCTGAACCAGGGAGGAGCCTTCAACCAAGATATGTGCCCTTGACTGGAATCGAATCTGGGACCCTTTGGTCCACAGGCCAAGGTTCTATCCACTGAGCCAAACCAGCTAGGACTATGAATATTGTTTACAAGGAACTTAGTTTTGTTTATATTTGCTAAAGACAATATTTTTTCCTTCCTAATAAACATGCTGAAACTTGACAAAAAGCCTAGTTTTCTGACCAAAGCAAGGATCCTGTTACTGTACATGAATGAAGTTAAATTTTCCAGCTAAAATGGTACTTACATGTGCATACCTTCTGCCAACTTTATTATAATATCTAAAGTAGAAATGTAAGACTAATGATATCCTGGGGGAAGGTCTGCAACTATGGTGCCTAAGAAAGAAAGAGAGCCACAAGGTTCATTTTAAAAAATTAACTTTTAAGCCGGCATTTTAATCGACCAGTATTTATTCAGTTCCTTATGCTAGATATATAGAGATGAATAAGATATTGCCTGGGCCTTAAAGAAGTTCAAAAACTTCTTGAAATGAGGAAACAGTTACAATTAAAAGTGATTGTAAATGGAGGTATGTCTAAGTGACTTTGATAGTACCAAGGAGAAACAAGTAGCCCAATGGGATTTAGAGTTTGATAAGACTACTTAATTTTTAAGATATAGAACTAGAAAGGAGACAATCTAGGGGGCTTGTATTTCATCCAATAACTAGAGGTCCCAAGACACACAGAATTGCCTGGAGAACTTACTTAAAAAATCAGATTCCCAGTCTCATCCCTCAGAGATTGACTAGATACGACTAGGGTGGTTTCCCAGGTGGTTCTTATTTAGCTAGCAAACTCTAGTCTGCACATGACATTTAGTAGTCAATGCAGTAGGTAAGATTGAGCCACAGAATAGTTAAGCTAGGTAAGAAGATCATATTAGAAAGTTAAATCCAGTGGTGGTATAGAACAGTGAAATCACCTGAGAATATCATTAAAATGCAGATTTTGGTTCAGTAGGTTTAAGATACTACCTTTCTAACAAGCTCCAAGTTGAGGCTGGTACTACTTGACTGAGGACCACAGTTTGATTAACAAGGGTAGAGAGGTTATATTGGAATGGGGTGAGACTACAGACATGAAGATAAGTAACAGCCTATTGCAGGAATCTAGGCAAAATAACTACTCAGTGTTTGGTACTAGCAAGAATAAGTTCTAGTGAAATGTAATAGATGAAATTGGGAATACTAATTTAGTGAGTTAGTAGGATGTGGTGTTAGAAGTGAGGGGAGAGGTGTCAAGAATGATCTGAAGGTTGAAGTTTAGCTATCTTGGTGGATGACATTAATTGAACTAGAATAAAAGACAGAGGAAGAAGGTGGCTTGCGGGTAGAAGCGGGCTGGCTAGTATAGAATAGTTTCTTAGAGCTGAGAAAAGTGATAGCCAGAGGGTTAATTTTTAATGCATTGAGTTTGAGGAGCCTATGAGATACCCAAAATGTTAAAGGGATCAGTAGAAGAAAGGGAACCCACAATAGACTAAGAAGTGTCAGATATGTTTGTGGATAGCTGTTTGAAAGGCATTTCCTGGAGGAGAAAGTCAGAGTATCATTGTCACAGAGACATCAAACAAAAGATTAGATAGAGTTCGATGAGAGTGTATAAAATTATAGTTTAATAACTAACTTTCCAAAATGCTGATTGACTAAAGGAGTTCATTAGTTTTTCCTCTCAATCTTTTAATTTAAGGACCAGAGCCAATTTTTTCATATTATTCATCATGAAAAGCCTCATAGTGCCTTTTCCATTCAGATTTTCTTCTTTTTCCTCCCCCTACAGATCAAGAGCTGCTAGATACAGTTGAAAGTCTTGCCATGCACTGAAAGGGAAGCATTGTATGTGAAGTTCTATTTTCTAAAATGTCTGCCTGTAACACCTTTACTGAGCACATTTGGAAACCTGGTGAATGCAAGAATTGCTTTAAACCTAAAAGCTTGCACAAGCTCCCTCCTGACCCTGAGAAGACAGCCATCACCCACGGCCATGTGAAAACTAATGCCAATCACAGTAACAACCACCATATCAGGAACACTGCAAATTTCCGGCCTCCTGTTGCTAAAAAACCCACTATAGCTGTGAAGCCCACCATGATGGTGGCAGATGGGCAAAGTGTATATGGTGAGCTTAACATCCAAGGACCCTGTGAGAACAAACCTGTCATTATAGAGAGGAACCGAAACAGGACAGCCTTGAATCAGAAACCACTCAATAATAATAATAATGAAGATGATATTGAAGGAGTTAGCCATGTTTCTAAACCTTTTGGCAATAATGACAGTGCAAAGAAGATATCAAGTAACAATAATGGACTAACTGAAATGTTGAAGGAGATAGCAGGCTTGGATACTACTCCTCAGATAAGAGTAAATGAAACAAATGCCAAAGAAATATTCTTAGGAAGAATAAATGATTGCTATAAACGATCACTGGAAAGAAAGCTTCCACCAAGTTGCATGATGGGTGGGATAAAGGATACTCAGGGCAAGCATGTTATTCTGAGTGGGAGCACAGAAGTGATCAGTAATGAAGGGGGCCAGTTCTGTTACCCAGAGTTTTCTAGTGGAGAGGAGTGTGAGGAAGATGTACTTTTCAGTAACATGGAAGAGGAGCATGAAAGCTGGGATGAGAGTGATGAAGAGCTGTTGGCCATGGAGATTCGTATGAGAGGGCAACCTCGATTCGCTAACTTTAGGGCAAATACTTTGTCTCCTGTTCGATTCTATGTGGACAAAAAATGGAATACTGTCCCTCTGCGAAATAAGTCTCTGCAGAGAATCTGTGCTGTAGACTACGATGACAGTTATGATGAGATCCTGAATGGTTATGAAGAGAATTCTGTGGTCTCCTATGGACCAGGAAGCATTCAGAGCGTGGCATCATCTGACTCCACATCACCAGATTCTTCTTTAACAGAAGAATCACGTTCTGAGACAGCCAGTAGTTTATCCCAGAAGATCTTTAATGGAATATCTCCTGGTACCCCAGGATATTCTAAGGACATGAAGGAAAGTGAGCCCAATTATGAAAGTCTCTCTGGTAACAATCAAGAGGATTCATCACAAGCATCCAAAATCTCAGAAAAAATTCCAGAGACACACAAAGCAGTCCTTGCTCTCCGATTAGAAGAGAAAGATGGCAAGATTGCTGTACAAACTGAGAATCAAGAAAGAAAAGCCTCTACAGATACTGCTGGGCAAGCAGTAATCATAAACCTTATTCCTGTACAAGAGCAAGCAAAGCCCTACCGCATAGTGAACCTTGAGCAGCCGTTGTGCAAGCCATATACTGTTGTAGATGTGTCAGCAGCAATGGTTAGTGAGCACCTCGAGGGCCCTGTTTACAGCCCCAAGACAAAAAGCTCATCTTCTACTCCAAACTCTCCAGTGACATCACCTATATCAACATCAGGACAAATAAGTGCCCATTTTCAAAAATCCAGTGCAATTCGATACCAGGAAGTATGGACATCCAGTACCAGTCCACGACAAAAGATACCTAAGGTGGAATTAATTAGTGGCGGAACTGGGCCAAATGTCCCTCCAAGGAAAAACTGTCACAAATCAGCACCTACTTCACCCATTGCTGCAAATGTTTCCTCTAAAACCATCCCTGTTAAGTCACCTAATTTGTCTGAAATAAAATTTAATAGTTATAACAATGCTGGTATGCCCCCTTTTCCAATTATCATTCACGACGAGCCAACTTATGCTCGGAGTTCCAAAAATGCTATCAAAGTTCCCATTGTAATTAATCCAAATGCATATGACAATCTAGCCATCTATAAAAGTTTTCTTGGAACAAGTGGAGAACTTTCAGTGAAGGAAAAAAACACAAGTATGATAAGCCATACTTATGAAGAAATAGAAACTTCAAGCAAAGTGTCTGATGATACCACTGGCAACCCCACTGATTGTCCCCAAGCTAAAGGGTTTTCAAATAGCACAGAATGTAAAAGGGGCTCAGTGGCTCAGAAAGTCCAGGAGTTTAACAGCTGTCTTAACAGAGGTCTGTCTTCCCCACAGAGAAGCTGTAGTTCCAACCACAGCTCCCCAACTAAGAGCCAGAGAACCACTCAAGAACCTGTTGCCAGAACAGAAGGCACTCAGGAGTCTCACATGGTGGGGAGTGGCAGCAGCAACAAGGAGAAAGCAAGCATAGTGCTTTCTCAAATTGTGGCTTCTATCCAACCCCCACAGTCCCCTCCAGAAATGTCCCAGTCAGGCCTTAAAACTTGCAGTGTGGAAGAGCTTTATGCAATTCCTCCAGAGGTTGATGTTACTAAAAGTACACCAGTCCGGCCAAAATCTCTCTTTCCATCTCATTCCAGTGGTGAGCATGAAGCACCTCAGACCACAGAAAATCTTACCACTAAAGTACAAAAAGATACACTGGCAAAGCAAGTCACAACCTCTCCCTCCAAGTTAGTGATTAACCCCCAGAGTGAGCCATCACCTCCTTTTCCTCCACCACGTTCTACGTCCTCCCCTTACCACGCAAGTAACCTTTTGCAGAAGCATTTCACCAACTGGACCAAGCCAACCAGCCCTACCAGGTCAACAGAAGCTGAATCCGTTTTGCACTCTGAAGGCAGCAGGCGGGCAGCTGATGCAAAACCTAAACGCTGGATATCATTTAAAAGTTTCTTCCGTCGTTGGAAAACAGATGAGGAGGACAACAAAGAGAAAGAACGAGAGAAAGGGAAACTGGTGGGTCTGGATGGCACAGTCATCCACATGCTGCCCCCTCCTCCAGTCCAGCACCAACACTGGTTCACAGAGGCAAAAGGAGAATCCAGTGAGAAGCCAGCCATCATCTTCATGTACAGGTGTGACCCTGCCAAAGGCCAGCCCAGTGTAAATCAAAGTAAGGCCCGAGCAGACCAGTCAGCAATCATGGAGAAGGGTGGAACACAGGATGAGTTACTACAGGTCTCAGAGGAGAAGAAGAAAAGGAGTCATTCTTCTCCATCACAGATTCCTAAAAAAATGCTCAGGTATGTAAAATAGACTAGCAGAATGTGGAAATTATTTACATGTTTTCAAATGCTAAATTTTTTATATCTTTAAGATTGCATAAGAGCCATTTTTGTTTGTAAGTAGCATATAGGGGCCATCAATCTTTATAACTGCATTCCAAGATTAGAATATTATTAAAGTGCTCTTATTGAACAAGGTTTATGGCCCAGGATATTGCTGTCTCTGTGAGTGTTATGGAAGGGAGGGTTGCAACTCATAGTTATTTAACATGTAGGTGAAACAGAAGTTAGTTATTGATACTGAGACCCAAAGTTATAATCTTCAATTCAGTTGGGCAGATTATATACCCACATCAATTCTCTAGGCATTAATTTTCTTTCATATTTTAATAACTGTTTAATGATCATCTACTCTGTCTAAGGCACATCCCAAATATTTATCTCAAATACTTATAACAGCCCTACAAATTAGTTGTACTCTTCAGATGAGGAAACACATCTGGGAAGTTAATAATTGGTCAAATTCATATAGCTAGTAGTTGTCAGTCAGAATTCAAACCCTGATTTGACTTCCTCTAAAGTCTGAATCATCCAATAATGATGCATTGTTAATGAACACAAGATCAAACAAAATATTTATATTTTTACTTGTAATCATTCAAATAAACATTCATGTTTAAGAACTTAGTTTTTTTTTCTTTCTCACTTACATTGTGAGCAAAATTACTGACCTAACAATAAAAGAGATAGTTATACCACATTTGTAGTAAACGGATGATTTCCTTATATCCCCTGTCCTTTTTATTATTTTTTTTGCAAGTTAGAAATAATTTTAATATATTCTCTAATAAGAATGGGTGCACGTACATGCCTGTGTATAGATGTATCCACAGTACACAATATATTTCTTGTTTAATTGAATTTATTGGAGTACAGGTTTCAACTGTACATCTCAATAAAATCAAAGATATGACCTGAGTATTCCATTCATCTGATTCTGAGTGTTCCTCCCCCTTGACTTATAGTAAAAATTCTCTCCCAGGTTTGGTCTTTTCTCTGGCAAATACAGCAACCTGATGATAGGGTAGTTTCTCTCACCAGCTTTTCTTTAGAATAGTATAAATAAAAATGAGGTAAACAGTTAATGCCTTCACTTTTTCTAGCAAAATGCCAGGAAGTTTTGTATATATTCTTTACTAAAATACGTTTTTCATGTATCTCAAATACTTATGACAAATAGTTGTCAAAATGCTAGAAAATTTCCTGTTTTTCTTAAATCTATGTAATAACAAAGCAAGTAAAATAGTGGTTATAAATGTATTCCTGGAAAGAATAGTCTTGTCATTGATGGTTGAAAGTGGGTGATAGAATGTTATACTTCAGTAGTAATAAAATGCATATATTGTAAGTTAGTGTTTTCCTTAGAAAAGAAGCAATTTTAACAGCACATGTTTGGAGTTACCTTTGGGGGAATGGCAGATAGTTCTTGCAGGCTTTGCTCCTCATTAAGTATGTCTATGGTATATTTATCTGCATCCTGGAAGGCAGACTCGAAATGATTTGGCCTCTCTCTGTGAAATGAAACTCTACTTCGACTGCATGTCACTGTATATGGTCTAGAGCAGTGGTTCTCAACCTTCCTAATGCCGCGACCCTCTAATACAGTTCCTCATGTTGTGGTGACCCCCAATTTCATTGTTACAATTTAAACATAATTAAAGCATAGTGATTAATCACAAAAACAATATGTAAATATATATATGTGTTTTCTGATGGTCTTAGGCTACTCCTGTGAAAGGGTCATTCAACCCCCAAAGGGGTCGCGACCCACAGGATGAGAACCGCTGGTCTATAGGGTGTCCAATGCCCTTAATATAGCAGACCCCTTACTCTAAAGTTTATATTTTCACAGATTTGATTATAAATGGACCCTTTCTTCCAAAATTTATCAGTTCTTTATAGGTAACATCCATGAATCCAAATGGTGCATTTGGTTTGCCCCTTTTGTTCTCCAGATTATTCCTACAATATAATAACTGGAGTGCTGTTAAAACACAGATTGCTTTGCTCCTACCCCCATAGACTGACTCAGTAGGTCTGAGGTAGATCCTTATCATTTCCATTTCTAACAAGTTTTCAAGTGATACTGATGCTGATGCTGCGGGTCCTAGGGCCACACTTTTTGAACCACTGACCTTACCACCATTCTAAATATATGTGCTATCCTATATAATAAAAGAGAAACATGTAAATCGACTGTCCTTCCACTACGCTCACCAGCCAATCAGGGGTGAGTATGCAAATTAACCCAACAAAGATGACAGGTTAATTTGCATACACAGGCACTGGGCAGAGAGCAGAGCGGGAGAGCCAACAGAGAGTGGAGCGGCTTGGGGAAATTGGCTCCCCAAGCCGCCAGACGGAGAGCAGAGACGGAGAGCTGGCAACTTGGAGGACTTGGCAGAGTGGGAGGCCATGGGACACAGTCAGAGCAGGAAGGGAAAACCAAGATCATGGGGAGCACCAGGAATTCTGGGAATAATAGTTTTTGTGGCAGCCCCAGGACCAGAAGCGGAAGCCCAGAGCGCGGGGAGCACCAGGAATGCTGGAAATCGTAATTCTGATGGCAGACGGATCTCCTAGACACTAGAGCAAAGTGACCCTGGAGTAAGTTACTGTTGCAGTGGGGGATGGAGGGAAAGCAAAGGTGAGAGACATAAGTAAAATTAGAGTGTCTAGGAAAAATTAAAGGGAAGATATCCTAAAACTTCCAGGAAATCTCTACCAATGAAGCAAAGAAGAAAAAAATGCCTCTATTATTCTGTGAGCAATAAACCAAACTGAGTTGGGGTCTCAGACAATTCGCTCATATGATTGCAAAGACAGACAGAAACTTCTTGATTGGAGAGGGCTCCCCTGAGGGCTCCCATATTGGAGAGGGTGCAGGTCGGGCTGAGGGACCCCCACAACCCCCAGTGCACGAATGTCGTGCACCGGGCCTCTAGTAGTATAAATAAAAGAATTTTGAGGTATTAAGCTTTTCTTAGAGGCACATTGGAATTTTCACATTTTATCATATCCCAGACTAAGAATAGAAGGTAGTATGAAATAGTTTTTATTAACTTTTTATTTATTTTTTATTTATTTTTCTTTTAGGGGCCATGCTAATCTTCTCTGTATCGTTCCAATTTTAGTATATGTGCTGCCGAAGCGAGCACTATTAACTTTTTAAAATGTTTAAACATGAATACTCATATTGAGAAATATATACAATTTGCCTTTACAATAATTACCTCATTTACTTGAAGCAACTTTCAGAGGAAAAACATTACTATCAAATTTCAGCATTTATGTTTCTGGCTTGACTGCAATGTAACCATCCCATGCCTGGAAACACACTGCTTGAAAAAATGAAAATACAAGTTTTTCTTTATAGTAAATGAAGATTTCAAATTCAAACTATATAAAAGGAAATAAAAGTACTCTACTGAAGGCCAGACCCTAGACTTTGAAAGATGACTGTGTAGAGCCTTTCATTATGGGAGGAGATTGTCACTAAGTTCATTTATTTGACTGTTCAGTCAACATAAATTGAATATTTTAACAGTGCCATAGGGACAAATGATCATACTGCTGAAATATTGCATATGACTTCAGCTGTCCTGTCAGGTCCTTCCGTGTACAGTGTCTATAATGATATTTATTGTAATGGGGTGACCCGCGGAGATAACCACCAGGACTCAGATAAAAATTTAGGAGCCTTTATTAAGCTGGCCAGCGACTACAGTTACAGCACCCTGCCGAAGCAGAGGCTGAACTGCAGCGCAGACTACAGGAATTACAGCATTTTTATTTGCAAAAACCACAAAGTTACAAAACCTTAGTTCCCGACACAGTATAGTATCAGTACCTTCCTATCTATGTGTTTTAGGAACAGAGAGTACAGCATATTGAAAAGGGGCTATGAGACCATATCTCAAGGCCTGGCCTGATGTCAGTACCTTCCTATCTATGTGTTTTAGGAACAGACAGCACAGTGTGCCCCATCTGGCCAAAGTGCCAGATATGCAGCCCAGCACATTCCCTACTGGTCTTATTGGGAATCAAATCATTGATTCTGCTTCCTGCCAGCCTTCTTTAGGGATTTGTTGGTAGTGGGTGCCCCAGGCCTCACTGTCGGAGTAGTGAGTCAGTGGTCTTCCATGGGGCTAAGGTTTTACAGCCCCAAGAGGAACAGTAAAAGTCATCTTTACCCTCACACTCCAGGGGCCCTTCTCGGGGGCAGACATAGTGCTGGGTTCGCCATAGGTCTTGTTCAAGGTTAAGGCTTCCATACCCATATGTCTGTTTAGATATATACATGGCATTGCCCCCTAATATCCCAGATCCCCTTATGGTGAGGGGGCGGTTCCATTCTTTCCCAAATATTTTGCAAAGGTCAGTATGTAGCTTCGGGGGCCCTAAGGTGGTGGCCTTCCCAATGATTTTACCATCCATCATGCGGGTGACCTCCCAGGAGTAAACTGGGGCTTGGTGGGGATTCCCGCTTGCCAAAACCAGGAGGCATAAAAGGAGGATGAGACAGGGTCTACAGTCTATTGTCCCGATGCGTCTTCAGCCTTCTTGATTTGTGTGTGGTGAATCCAGGGCTTCTTTCCCCCGACTTTGACAGCAGTTGGGGTGCTTAGGATGACCTGGAAAGGCCCTTCCCACCGAGGCTCAAGAGTACCTGGATCGTGTCGCTTCACCCAGACCAAATCACCAGGGGCACACACAGGTGGGCTGTTTGGGTTGGGCGCGCGGGCTTCCTGATGAGCTGCTGGGGCGATTTGGTGCACAGCCGCTGAGCTGGTCTGGAGTGCCTGTAAGGACTGGGCACAAATTTAGCACCTTCTGGCTATATCCTGGGTGATAGTATTCCCTTCCCAGGAGTTCAGCTAGTTTGGTTCTTCCCAGGTGAGTACTTTGGTGTGTCTGGGAGGCGATGATTCGGCCCAAAGCCTCTGGAACAAAAGACT